GCTATACATAAAAGCCATGTGGCTTCGTTCATAGTTCGTTGAGTGATTCACACATGCCAAAGGTTATGTAGTACAAGACTTATGTATCTTGTGTACATGCCAAGATCTTGATTTGATTGAAGTAGGTGGCATTATTCTTGGATATTTGTTCAAGTATGACTTGTCCAAGTTCAAATCACTTGGATATCATTTACATTTTTCATTGATTTTAATTTTAATTTTAATCTCCATGACATTGGGACTCAAGATTGAACCCCAACATTAACATTATATTATTAATTTTCTACTTGGTTTCCCTATTAAATTGGCCGATAGTGGGTTTGAACCCCCACAACCCCGTTTTATTTTTCATTAACATCACATGGCCCCTTGTCGCCCAAACCAAGAGGTTGTGGGATCAAACCTCCACAGCCTCTTTCATTTTATTCTCTATTTTCGCTGGACATTGGGAGGTTGTGGGTTCGAACCCCCACAACCTCCTTATTTTAGTGTTAATTTCGCTAGGCTGTGAGGTTGTGGTTTCGAACCCCCACAGCCTCCTAATTTTATTTTTAATTAAAGATTTTTTAAATGGGCGCCTTGACAGTGAGGTTGTGGGATCGATCCCCCACAATCTCACTTTATTTTCTTATTTAATTTTGCCATCCTCTCCAACCTTGAGGTCGTGGGTTCGTTCCCACACCTGACATTTTCTTTTCTTTATTTTTCTCTTCTTTTACTCGCTGCCTGGAGGTCATGGGTTCGATTCCCACTCCTCCCATTTATTTAATTAAATCATTTTCGTCTCTTTTCCCAAACCAGTGGCCCGAGTTTGATTCCCCCCAACCCCATTTTCGTCTCCTTTTCTCGCGAATTCCAGTAGCCAAAAGGTGTTAAATTTTCAGATTTTCATTATTAAACTTTAGTCTAATTTAACCTTGCATAGTTGCTGGAAATTTTTGTCATTTTTATCAACATTTTAACTTGATTCATAGGGTGTATTCATATACCATTTTAACACATCTTTAGGCGCATTTTTCATGAGTTTATTTGGATAAAAGATTGTCACTCAATCAGCCACATTTCTTAAATGAACATCACGATTTTTCATGGTTTTATGCACATAAAAAAAACTATACCCTTATCAAATTTTGAGCATCAAGTTGAGGCCCTTGCCACATTCACAAAGTTTCACACACTTGCACATAACTTCAAACACATATTGATTATCATTTTCATGATTTCACGTACATAAAAATATTCACATTCAACACAAGAACATCAAACATACCTAAATCTACCAGCAAACATACCCAACCTACGAATAATTGGGAGCTAGTGACAGGGAAATGCAACAGGGAAAACAATCTTAGTTTTCGGACTAAATAATTGAATCTTAAGGGGTCTCTTGGGAAAGGGACCAAGAGGAAAGAAATGCATAACTTAATTGATTTTCAAACAATGAATTTGATGCCCAAAACCCTTTCCAAAATCAGTCCAAGCTACCTCAACGTCCACCCCACTCAACGAACAACTTCTCTTTGCCTTAACGTTTTTGGTTGCTTTGTTTTTCTTAAAATTTTATGTGAGTTTTTCTAGTGTGAATAACTCTTGATATTACTTCTGTTCTTTGTTGTTTTTGGCAGAACCAATGTGAGGGAGAGAAGGATGAAACGTGAGAGAGAGTAGTAAAATAATAGGAGTTTTAGTTTGGAAATTAGTCAAACTAGGACTCCTTATTAATTTAAATAAAAACCTGATTTAATTAGCTTAGTGAAAGGACCATTATGCCTTTTAAATTTCAGATTTTCAAATAATAAATAAATCATTTTAAGTATTTATCCTATTCATTTTTAGGATTGTTACACATATGATTTAATCTTTGCATTCAACTCAATATCTAATAATGTAGATCAAATTCAAAGGCATATTCGCTAAGGCGCCTGCATAATTATTTATAGCAAAGAGTTAATCAATCTTTCATGTACCCATAAAACTTATCTAGTTGAGAAAAAATAATTACCTATAAGAATACATAAAATTAGTTGGGCAAGAATTGCAAGGACAATTATCACTACATACTTTTTCAGATGACATCTTAAGAAGAGTAGATGAGATATAATAATAAATAATTGAAAAGTAATCCTAAGAAATAAAAAACCTACAAGTTAAAATAAATAATAAAGATAATTTCTAAACCATATTTCCCCGGCAGCGGCGCCATTCTTGATAACGTTCAAATATACTTCTTGAAAAGAAATATAAACGATCATATGCAATATATTTACCTAACTATAAGTCAGGGTCGATCCCACAACAAATATGGAAGAATATTATTAATAATAAATATTTAGATTGATAGTCGTTACTTAAAAATGGGGGATTTAAGTTGAAATAAGAATAAATCAATAAAAATAGCTCTGAGCTATGTATTTATATATATCCAAGTTAATAAAAATATCTAGGAATGTGTTCCCCATAAGCTCATAATGCGGTATTCATAGTAATAACAATTTCTTCTAGTGTATTGCATGCAAAGTGATAAGTTAGGTATCTCTAATTCCTTGGTTCGACGACTAGAGAATTTCAACCCGAACCTTGGTCTAGCTACATGCGTATAATTTACTAACCCTTACCAATACATCATATTAGATATCATAATTGATGTTTGACTTAGTTATTACTTCGCACCAATCAACACTAGTCTATTAGATAGTATCACGCTAAATCTATGTTGATAATTCTTTTCTTATTAACTACCTCCTTGATCTAGCAAAACGGCGAGTTCTACCGTTGGCCACCGTTAAAAAGACTACTAGATGAAATAACTATCTATACATGTAAAACACTATTCAAGAATTTCTTAGTTGCCAGTTATGCTTTGTTAATTGCTCATGGTTCCCACAACCCTAGTTGTGAAATTTACTTATTCATTATCTCGAAAACAAAAAAAAATTATTAAAATAAATATGCTTGTGTTAATGATAAAAATCTAAGGACAATAACTAAACTATCTTTTATTAATCACGAATACTAATACATAATAAATGAGAAGAAAGAGTATATCATAATTATCCGACCTTCCAACAACTCTTTCAAAGTTCCAAAGCTAGAAGAAAGTTTATATTGTGTCTTGTTTCTTGGTTCTTGGCCTTCCCAAATATTATTTTTGATGTCCTATTTATAGATATAAAAATTTTAAATTAAATAATTGAGTTCAAGACATATTAGAAAATCAAAACCAGGATGGAATTAATTTTCGTATATTATTTCTGTGTCTTGAATATATTGTAGCCGCCGCTTTCAAATTAAGATCCCTTTGAGATGCTGACACATGGCAAAAACACTTTCCATCAATTTGATTTCAGTCGCCTTCCCATATATGTATATATAAATATATTATTTATTCACTATAATCCATTAAGTTATATGCTTGATTTCCTTCTTCAACCTTTCATCTTTAATTCGTTTAAGCTTCAAATTTGTTCAGTTTTTTCCACCAAATTAATCCTACAAATAAAATACGCAATTTATCATAATCCATAAAACTTATGCTCAAAATGGACAAATATAAATGATAAATGTGAGGTAAATAATGACAAAAAATGTGTATTTTGGCCTCACATCAATACTCATGGCTAATTTCATTCCACTTATAACTTATTTACACTTTGTAATGTATGGCTATAGCCTCAATTTCTTGGGGTGTGATTATGGGATCTAATGTTGATGTAATTTTGTTGATTAGTTGAATTGCTATGTAGTTTGGCTGTTAATCATAGATTTATCTGACTGTCGAGTGATTAATTCATAAAGTAAGGGATAAACTTAATTTTAGTTTCTATCTTGCATTGGTGCTTGAAAGAAACCTATATAAGTGGGTAATATGTTCAACAACTTCAATTTAATATACATGATTGAAGATTGAAGGTTTTGGGTTGCTTAGGATGATTGACAGATGAGACCGAAATGAGATTCTATGCAAAGATGCTTTGAGATTGAAAGAATATTAAAATCAATTATAATGACCTAGCTTATTTGTGATTAATTAGTTGTAACGAGCAATTCTACAATGTCCAAGGTGATATTAAATTTGATCCTCAGACCCCTAGAGTCAATTAGTTTTGTGATTCATCAATTATTTCAATATTGTCAACTGGGTGTCTAAATTAGTATTGTTAAAACTGGTGTGTTTATCCACCTATTTTCTATTTCAACTTCATTGAAATTAATTGCTCGTTAACTCTTTGATTGAATCTTTAACCGCACACCATTTCCTGTGGGATTCAATCCCAACTCTTAGTTGGATATTATTATTAACGACAACTGATGTATTCCTTTTAAGTGATTTTAAAGAGGACATTTGAGCACTATTAGGACCCTTCTATGGCCAGTTCTTACGGATCGTATAACTTTCTATGGACCATTCGGGTGGTCCAAAGAAAACTTTAGAGATCCAAGAATTTAAAAATCCTCAAGGCCATTTCCACGACTCACGTAACAAAATATTTGGTCAAAATAGTAACAAAATAAAAGTTGTGAAGTGTTCAAAATGGTATGTCGTGGTCAAACACAAGTAATTGTATAATTGAATATTTTTTGTAAGTTTCACGACTCACGTAAACCAATAAAAATGAGGGAACTAGATTTTGTTTACATATGGATTATTTATTTCATAATAGATGTTGACATTCTATCAACAAATGAGATGTTGATTTGTAGCACCTCAGAAAGAGAATAGTTGCTTAGTTGAATGCAACTTCAAGTTTATGATCCATGCATAGGCACCGTATAAGGATTTTTACTAACATTCGCTCTTTCCTCTATAGAAAGTTTTCTTTAGAACAAACTGTTAAAACACCTTATTATAGTAAATTATATTTTGTCTTGTGGATTGTCAAGAATCAGCATTGATACACCAACAAAAACAAGAACAACCCTCACCCCCACATGGACATCGAACAAGGGTTTCACCCCCACCCTCACTCTGTACCCACAAAAAAGAGCAATCTAACTAATACATGTTTCCTGCAAAAATCATTATCCATCAACCAGCCCAAGACCTGAAGAAGAGAGGCCCACCAAGAAAGTATTCTGTTCATGGATTTGGCCTATCTCCCTATAAAATTTCTGAATCTCGTGGAGCTTCTGCTTCAGAAAAGCTCTCTAAGGAGACTCCTGGAAGGCCCCAGAGCTTTGGAGAAAAGAACCAACCACAAGATTTAGGCATATATGATTTCATTATTTCTTTAATTATGTATCCTTTTAATGTAGGAAGTATTTAACTTATATACTCTTGCTATTTCCTTTAGTAGTAGATAATGAAGACTATTTTTGTTGGTGATTTTACTTGTATTTATTCTTCAAATATTCCAGCTAATCTTGGAAAGTTAAAAGTATCAAGTAATTGGATTTTATTTTTATCAGTGTTTACCAATATATACATGCATCACAATAACAATGAAGTTTTTAATGGTTGGCAGATGAAGCTAGATGGACGCCACACTTAATCTCTGTGCATATTGGGGAGGTAGAACCATTTTGCTTATTGATCTTTGAGCTAATTATGATATACAAAACTGTAATGAACTTGTGTATTTTTACAAAAAAAATTTCTAATTTTGTGTTGTGTGGTGTTATTCTACAAGATGCTCAAGTTTTAAATTTTTGTTGAGAGAAAAGAAGAAAGTGATTGATCTTTTTTTTTGGGATTGATTTTTACAAAATGGGAATTCTATTATTTTATTTTACCCATGATTAAATTTCTTGTTTAAGGATTACTTGAATCGAAGTCCCATTCATGTGAAATTTTTTATTAACCTTACAAAATGATGTAAATTTGTAACCTTGGCCACACATGACTTTATAGGTAAGCTAATAACCGTCTCACAACAAGGACCACGATGATGGGTAGTTTGTATGACTGCAACTGGACTCGTATGTAGTGTAACACTATAATTATACTTGTTTAAGGATGACTTTAATTTCTGCCCCACTCTTCTGAACTTTTTGGTTAACTTGACAAAATGATGAAAAATTGTTACCTTGGCTATAGGACATTGTAGGTAATCTAATAACCTTTTTACAATGAAGACCATGACCACTGGTAGTTTGTGTTATATCTGCAACTGCAGTTGTAAGTAGCGTGAAGCTCCGGGAGTCCATAATTGGTGGTGGAACTGTGACTTATGAGGTATGTATGAGTTTCAACTTAAAGACACTTAACCTTTATGGTCGCCTATATTATGAGGCATGAAGGATCTGATTCACACCCGTCAAAATATTGTAAGAGTTCAAGCAGCAAAGCATAAAAGTTACTTGACTTGAACATACTTTCTTAATAGTGAATTTTATAGAGCTTGTCAAAGTGTATAAAATGTTTTATCAACTGTTGGAAGCTATAAGAGCAAAAAAACTCTCTAAGCTAGTGGATGAAAAACTCTTTGATTGTCAGTTAATTGTACTTTTTGTTTAGATTTACTGATCTAATAAGACAATCTTTTAAAGGATAAAATGGTTAATATTTGATATAATAATATGAAAGATAGCTATTTAATATTTAAATAATCACATGTTTAATATCAATATTTTATAGTATAAAATGGTAATCTAACTTTTATTGTTGGTTATGACCTTTTGATTTTGTTGTTGACATAGAAAAAATGAGAGCAGCTTTAGCTCGTTTTGGTTACTGAGTAGAGCTAGTTTTCGTACCAGATTTTCAGTTGCTTTGGCTTGTCTTATTGGATTTATCATATAAATTATGCAGAAGTAATTGAATGTATGTTTATTACAAAAGTGGTGAAGTTTCTTATGTATTGAATTTGTCTTCTAGAATACCTATTCAGTATTGATTGTGTTCTAGCATACCTATTTCAAATTGGTCATCGAATGTCATGACCCAATTATAAATCAGGATTCCAAAGCAATCCTTATATGGATTCTACAGAAAATCGGACAGAGTTTCTTTTGTTTTTATGCTTATCCTAAATTTTCCCTGTCTCAGAAATTCATAACACAACAAATAACAACTATAAATCACAACAAAATATCCATCAATGATCTAATTGTCATGCAAATAAACCAATTCATCTCCAAATATTTTTTAAAAAAGGTTCAAACTAGTTAGTTGATTACAATTCGAAAGAATATCTTCACTGTAAATAAGAACTGACAAATGGAGCGACTTTAAGAGTTTAGTTCAAAACGTTCAGTAATACATTTACTTTATAAACCATGTTAAAATCATGCAAATTATAGAACATCAATTGAGGTAAGCTTACTACTCACAGTACTTGTGTTGAAAACACCAAGCTCTTCACTCGAATGGTCCCTATGAATTCCTTTGGTCAACCTATAAACACATTCATAACAATTTCGTGTTAACTCCTTCGTTTAGGTAATTCATACTACATCAACAAAAAGCCAGGCCTAGAGGTTTCATGATTGATTCAAAATCTACCCAATCACTTAATTAGTGCTTTAATCACACAAAATAATCTTTTCTCGGTCAATTCTCACCATAAAAATATCAACCTGTCCTTGCTGCCTAATTATTTTTATTGCATATAAGTCCAAAAAAACCAAAGTTTCTTGTTCAAATAATTGACTATATTCATTTGTTTCATAAAAATGAAATAAATTTTCTCTATTTCTACTAAACTCATGTTTCTTAATTTCCCAATTTTCAATCTTATAGTCATGAATGATAAAAATTCAATCTTTAAACTAAGTTAAGAAACTTACCTTCTTCTCTTTCTTCTTTTTCTTCCACTTCTCTCTTTAGTTTGAGAACTGAGGCTTTAAATTTTTAATTTATTTTCTTCTTGCTCACCGTAGAACCAGAAAATCCAATATTTTTTTTATCGCTGAAGTTGCAGAGAAATCTGCTGCTTCTGTTAGGGCTTTCAGCCTTCTTTTGTTTTTTTTTTTATAAATTTTATAATTTTTTTATTAAAACTAAATAACATATATGCCCTTATTTTAATACAGTGTATTACATCAAGCTTGATGTTATTCTTTATATGCAGGGTCAATATGACATTATCTCATTATCAGGCTCATTGTTGCTACCAGACGATAATGATAGCCCTGGAATAACGGGTGGTCTCAACGTGTTACTCTCTAGGCCTGATGGAAGTAATATTTGTGGTATTGTAGCAGAAATGCTCAAGGATCCAGTAGAGGTGCTCTTCTAACTACCTCTGTCCTTGCATTTATTTGTTTCTCCATTTGATTTTGGATAGATTAGTAGTGCATGTCTAGAAACATAGTGGCTAGTAAGTCCACCTCCCTATCATTCATTTAAATAATTGGCTTTTGTTCATGATAGGGTTAAACTTTCAACCGTAACATGTGTTCAGCATGCACATCGTGTGTTGCTTTCTATTCACTACTCAAACGCCTTGTGTCGTCCTTGTGATGATGTTTGAGTGCATATTATGTACTTGCTAACGATTTTCATTTCTCTACCATATGGTTGTGAGTAGCTATATTCCGTAAAAGGAAAAGCCTATGCCTGAGGCATCATATTCAACTTGTTGATTCCCTCGGACTGAGTAGGCAGTTGATCGCAAATCCGTAAAGACAGAATATAAGCATTGGTTCAAGTTTTTGACTTGTGCTTGCTTATAATTTTAGTCTTAGTTTATGTTATGGTGGCCTGTGATTGAGTTCTTGTTTATCGGTAAATTGAAAAATTTAAGCCAATTATATTTGCGAGATTTCTTCTGGATTAGTTCTTAACGCAATTACTCCTAATTATCTTCATATATAAATGTATCCGAAAGTTTCTTGGAAATATTAGAACATACAGAAGTCTGTTTACTTTTATTTTGTCATAGTAGACCACAACAAAACAATTAATATTTCCACATATACTTCTTATAAGTTTTATTGAACAATTTATGGACCATGGTAAATCATGCAATTTGAGCATTCATTTTCAAAAATTATCCAATCTTCATTGATCATTAAGAAACTCCCTTAACTCCAGTAGAAATTCTTTTATAACCTGTTTGGCCTCACAATTCATATCCAATTCCGTGGATATAAAACCTCTATTGCCTTTACTCCATTTGTGAAGGATTAACATTAACATAGTGTAGCTCATATACATGACAGGTAATGTGAGAATTCAGAAATAACTAGAAGCTTTAGGTATGTATTGATCTTCATTAGTTACAATGTTTAATTTAGATATTTTAGATAACGAAGATGCTTTTTAAATTCTCAACAAAATGTGACTTGTCAAGAAAAATTCTATCACACGTATAGTATAAAAAATTGCCTCACCAAAGAATATTTTTTGTTTCTCCAATAACATTAATGTTAAAGAAATATCAATATATGATAATATATAGACAAAAATAAAAGCATGTGAATTGTTCCAATGATATGTACACTTGTCACACTTATTTATTTTAAAATCATTTTCAATAATACATGAATCGAACTTTTCATGTAATTATTTTGGTGCCTCTTTAAAGTCATATAGGAATTTAAGCCTCTTTTGGGTTACATTGGATTTGTTGAATCATGTCCCTACTATAACTCACCAGAAGGTAAGAAAATCCAGATTGCAAATAACAAATATAAGCATAGAAACAAAGTAAAAATATACAACCTAACAAAATTAGCAGAAGAAATAAGCGGAAGCATGTCATATATACAAAATCAAAGATCCCTTCGAAAACCTAGAAGTCACAAGCAAAGAGCTGCTAACAAAGAGTGTACAGGTACCAAAAGTGGAGCAAAACAGATAGGCTTGTCTCAAATTACAAAAGCCTACTCAGCTTAAACAGATGGAGACATGTATGATCTAGGACGTCATGTGCTCACCCTTGCCTCCAAATATGTCAATTGTTGGTTTAAAGTGAATGTTAGTAACTAGTGCTCGGATATGCATTACAAAACATATATAAAGTGTAGCATGAATACCAATATAATGTGTACTTAGTAGAAATCATTGGCTACTTGAGCAAGAAAAGTAAAGGCAATATGAAAAGAGGAAATATAGCAAAAAAGTACATTGACAGTAGAGAGAACGGAAATGAAGTATGTAAATATCTAACTAAAACCTAACTAAGACCCCCATAAGCCCAGAAGTTACATTCACGTGCAAGTTTAAGAAAAAACCAAAAGGACCCTCATAAATCTTACATGTACGCAGACCACCTAAAACTAGTGAGAACATTTTCTCGTGAATCAAGAGTCGGAGAGTGTGTAGCCCAAACCTTGAACCCTGGATAGCATCCCAAAGAACCATTAGGATATAGCCGATATGTATCAACTCATTGAGGATAAAAATTCCAAAGAATAGATTGAGGCTGAAGATCAAATGTCAATCTTCAACTCTGAGAATAATAATGTCACGCTCCGATGCTACCCCCTTGATGTAACACGGAACCTTGTGCAGTCAAATTGCACACGCAAGAGCACGTGATGCTACAAGTAATAGAGTGGCTCTTTATGAGAGTCAGGTATCATACCCACAGTGACTTACAATTAGAGCTTGTCAATTCTCCTAAATTGCAGTTCAACACAAATGTAATTCTTGTTTTCAAGAGTCTGTATTTTCTACTTCTACATACAACAAAATGTAAAGAGTACAATTCTGGTTTTACGATTTCTAACAATGACTTGGTAAAGATCCAGGGCTGTAACTTTTATCAAGAATCATGCAATTAATATTGTTTAAATGGGTAGTTATTAACTATCGAATCACTGATTCACAGGGTTAGATTTATGATCATAGTCTCCTAAGCTCTAATCGCCTACAATATTTAACACCCTAACTACAATGTTGAGAGGGGATATATTGATTAAACGCTGAGCATTAAGTTATCATCCAGTATGGTGACTCAAGCGAGGTCTCTAGGTATATTTCTATGCTAAAGACGAATCAGTCCTAGCTGTTTAGAGTTCAACAAGATCCCTATCCCTACGTTCTATCCACTTATTCATCTCCCGAGTTCTATTCGGATAATAGATTTATTTATATGGTGATCAAGAATGAAATGTAAAGAATTAGAACATATGAGAGATTTATATGATAGTCAATAACAAACCCAATAACAAAATCAAAAGATTACATTAATCTTGTAGCCACAACCCTAGAACTAGGGTATATAGCTACTCATAGTCCACAAATCAATCATACAATAGTTAGGAATAATCACAATGATTGAAAGCAAAAGATAACGAGAAATTAACCCTAAAAGCTTCAAAATACGTTTTCGAATTGTCATTCTTCAAAATTTTAAAAGGAATTCTTTCATAAAATAAAATAAAACCCTATTTATACTAAAAGTTGAAACGGTCAAATCTGGGCCTCAGGCGCGCGATGCGCCCTGACCTTTAGATTCTCGTACAAGACATTTTTGCCTTTTGCACGACGCGCGAGAAACACAAGGCATTATGCCTCGAATTTAATTCTCATAACCTATATTCTCCTCCCTCTCTGCGACGCGAAGGCAGCACACAAATGTGTTGGCGCATTTTCTTCAGCCTCTTCCTTGCTCACTTTTGACTAGAATCCTCAGACTCCTTCCTTTTTTCCTTTTCGTGGTTGTTTCCCCCATTAATCTTACCTACACAACAAATCATGTTTGTTTGCTCATAAATATGCAACTGACTCGATATGACTCTAAATACATACATATTGAATTTAAAATTGGCTTACATGTGGGCATAATTAGCATTATGGGCATAAAATATATGCCCAAGATCACTACCCCACTCTTAAAAGCTTGTTCGTCCTCGAACAACTACTCAATACTCCTAGACCTAGACTCGCTCCATTGGATTGTGGATCCACTATCAACTCCCAAAAGACTTATTCATCCTTCGTAATAGCATGTTTCCTGACAACTTTTTGCAACCAACGCTTTTAAAAACATAAGCATTACTCTGTATCACCTATACTCATACAGCAAGTGTCTCTCACGCCAACAAAGATTTAACACACTTAAGTTAATTAATTGAATATCATTTAAGGACTTTTCAAACAAGCACACTCTCACTCATAAATCAATATCATCCATGCATGTAATCGATTTCCCCGAATATAAAGCCTCTATTTCCTTTACTAAATTTGTAAAGGATTAACTTATATATCTTGATAACATATATATAGTGTAACTGTTAGAGAAAAATTACAAGATAACAAAAATGACAAGATTACAATTGAAAATGAAATGAATAAATAAAATCTTTTCAGGTTGAGGCGCGAATATCTCGTTTTCCTGATTCAAGCCCACTACAACAAATGTTTTCACCGGTCCAGAAGTAGTCCTCTTTGACTTGTCCCCTCCAAGATACAACAACCTTCACAAAGTATAACTCAAATACGTTGGACAAGAGTTGAATCCAAAGCTCCACAAACAAGAACACCTCCTTTCAACTAATAAGAACTCTCTTTTTGACTACTCTTTCACTCTATATTTTCTTTTGTGTGTTGTGTATATAAACTAAATGAAGACCATCACTATTTGTATTACAAGAATCTTCCTAGAAATGAATAGGAAAATAATGAAATAGTAAATAATAAAAATAATGGTTTTAGAAGTTACATAATTTAGAAGGTATAATGAAGGATAATGAGTGAAATAATGTATTAAAGGTTACAAAAGTTTTAATGGACAATGAAACTTTTCTTTGGCTTAATGGTCAAAAACCATCCGTTGGTTTGTTGACTGTATTGACCCGAAATGTAATTTTTAGAAGTAAGAACTATTTATTTAATTACAATTATTTAATTCATGGGTATTCATTTAAAATAATTAATTAAGTTATTATTTTATTGGCCAAATATGAAACTTAATTAAGATTCCATACTATTTGGACTATATATAATAAATAAGTAGTAGGGCTTGTCATTTTAATACCTAATTATTTAAGAAAAAGAAAAGGAAATAAGACCTGCGCGGAGAACTATGAAGAAAGCACTACATATCTTGCCGGGAAAGAAACAAAAGTACATCTAATGTTATAATTTTATTGTAAATAGTTAAATATATATATATATATATATATATATATATATATATATATATATATATATATATAGAGAGAGAGAGAGAGAGAGAGAGAGAGAGAGAGAGAGAGAGAGAGAGAGAGAATCTTAATGGATAGTTATTAATTAATGATTTCAATGTTACTGGGTCATAGTGAGTTAAACATTAGAAAGTCGTTAATG